CTAGTAAATAGCAATCAGTCATTAGTTTTCAGAAATAGAGAGCAATATCTACTAAACAGGGCCACAATATTAGGACCAGTGACACTGTTTGTGAAATCTGATACATTTTTATATTGATTACCAATAGCATAAACAAGTTACTTTTCCTTATTTCTTCCAAACAAGTGCAAGGGCGCGGGATGTTGATGACTAGTCATCTTGTTTTCGCTTCTGGTCCCTCTGAAGGTCACAATTATTATCTTGTGGACCCTATAGAGGTCATAATTTTTATCAGATTTAAAAAAACGTATTATTATATCACCGTTGCACCCTAAGGACGGCTGAGTTCGAATTTCGTGAAAATCAGCCCAAAACTGACAGACAAAATGGCCTCCCTTCGTTTTCAAATAGCCTAAAAATATGGTATATCAAGGTTGTGGACCCTATAGAGGTCACAATTTTTATTTGTAAGTTTATAACACAAAGATCTTGGTTCCTTTCGATGTTTGCGCATATCGAATCGTAATTTCCTGAATTATGGCCCTTGATTGTAGGAAAAATCACTTTCTTTTTTAGCTTGTTCTCTATCCATCTCTCGAAAATGTGGGTTTATCCTACCTGGCAGCCGCTGGTTTAGCTTGTGGTCCCTCTGGAAGTCACAATTATTATCCGATTTAAAAAAACGTTTGATTAATCACCGTTACACCATAAGGACCAAAATTGCCAGACAAAATGGCTGCTGTTTGTATGCGAGTAAAAATATGGTATATCAAGGTTGTGGACCCTGTAGAGGTCACAATTTTAATTCGGTTTTGATGAAACTTGAAATGCTTGTTTATAACCTAAAGATCTTGGTTCCTTTCGATATTGTTGCATATCGGATCGTAACTTCCTGAATTATGGCCCCTGATTATATGAAAAATCGCCTTTTTAAGCTTGTGGTACCTCTGAAGGTCACAGTTATTATCTGATTTTAAAAATCGTTTGAATATATCACTGTAACACCATAATATAGGCTGATTTCGAATTTTGTGAAAATTGGACCAAAACTGCCGGACAAAATGGCCGCCGCTCGTACACGAATAGTATAAAAATATGGTATATCAATTTTGTAAACCTTGTAGAGGTCACAATTTTAATCTGACTTTGATGAAACTTGAAATGCATGTTTATAACCCAAATATCTTGGTTCCTTTCGATATTTGTGCATATCAGATCTTAAATTCCTTAATTATGGCTCCTGATTGTCCGCAAAATCTCCTATTTTTAGCTTGTGGTCCCTCTGGAGGTCACAATTAGTATCCAATTTAAAAAAACGTTTGATTATATCACTGTTACACCGTAAGGAAGATCGAGTTCGAATTTCGTGAAAATCGGAACAAAACTGTCGGACAAAATGGCCGCCGCTTGTACGCGAATAGTGAAAAAATATGGTATATCAAGGTTGTAGACCCTGTATAGATCACAATTTTAATCTGATTTTCATGAAACTTGACATGCATGTTTATAACCCAAAGATCTTGGTTCCTTTCGATATTTGCGCATATCGAATCATAACTTCCTGAATTATGGCCCATGATTGTACTTTTTTAATTTACTTATATTTCTGTGCCAGAAGTAAACAACGTAACTTCCTGAATTATGGCCCCTGATTATCCGAAAAATCCCCTTTTTATACGCCCACATTTTCATGTGGACATATATTGTTGTCGCCCCTGTTTGTCCGTCCGTCCACAATTTGTTTGTGGACAGTCTACAGGTCACAATTTTTATCTGATTTCAACGAAACTTGAAATATACCTTTATCTCCCTCAGATCTCGGTTCCGTTCGATATTGGCATGTATCGGACCATAACTTCATGGATTATGGCCCCTGATTGTACGAAATATGGTATATCAAGGTTGTAGACCCTGTATAGATCCCAATTTTAATCTGATTTTGATGAAACTTGACATGCATGTTTATATAAACCCAAAGATCTTTGTTCCTTTCGATATATGCGCATATGGCCCCTGATTGTACGAAAAATCGCGTTTTTAGCTTGTGGACCCTATAGAGGTCATAATTTTTATCCGATTTAAAAAACTGTATTCTTATATCACCGTTACACCCTAAGGATGGCTGAGTTCGAATTTCGTGAAAATCGGCCCAAAATTGACAGACAAAATGGCCACCGTTCGTTCTCAAATAGCGTAAAAATATGGTATATCAAGGTTGTGGACCCTATAGAGGTCACAATTTTTATCCGATTTTGTTGAAACTTGAAATGTAAGTTTATAATTCAAAGATCTTGGTTCCTTTTGATATTAGCGCATATCGGACCGTTACTTCCTGAAAAATCACGTTTTTAGCTTGTGGACCCTATAGAGGTCATAAGTTTTATCTGATTTAAAAAACCGTATTGTTATATCACCATTACACCCTAAGGACTGCTGAGTTTGAATTTCATGAAAATCGGCCCAAAATTGACAGACAAAATGGCCGCCGTTCGTTCTCAAACACCGTAAAAATATGGTATATCAAGGTTGTGGACCCAATAGAGGTCACAATTTTTATCCGATTTTGTTGAAACTTGAAATGTAAGTTTATAATTCAAAGATCTTGGTTCCTTTCGATATTAGCGCCTATCGGACCGTTACTTCCTGAAAAATCACGTTTTTAGCTTGTGGACCCTATAGAGGTCATAAGTTTTATCTGATTTAAAAAACCGTATTGTTATATCACCATTACACCCTAAGGACGGCTGAGTTTGAATTTCATGAAAATCGGCACAAAATTGATAGACAAAATGGCCCCGTTCGTTCTCAAATAGCGTAAAAATATGGTATATCAAGGTTGTGGACACTATAGAGGTCAGAATTTTTATCCGATTTTGTTGAAACTTGAAATGTAAGTTTATAATTCAAAGATCTTGGTTCCTTTCGATATTAGCGCATATCGGACCGTTACTTCCTGAAAAATCGCGTTTTTAGCTTGTGGACCCTATAGAGGTCATAAGTTTTATCTGATTTAAAAAACCGTATTGTTATATCACCATTATACCCTAAGGACGGCTGAGTTTGAATTTCATAAAAATCGGCACAAAATTGATAGACAAAATGGCCCCGTTCGTTCTCATATAACGTAAAAATATGGTATATCAAGGTTGTGGACACTATAGAGGTCACAGTTTTTATCCGATTTTGTTGAAACTTGAAATGTAAGTTTATAACCCAAAGATCTCAGTTCCTTTCGATATTTGCGCATATTGGACCGTAACTTCCTGAATTATGGCCCCTGATTGTACGAAAAATCGCATTTTTAGCTTGTGGACCCTATAGAGGTCATAATTTTTATCCGATTTAAAAAAACGTATTATTATTTCACTGTTGCACCCTAAGGACGGCTGAGTTCGAATTTCGTGAAAATCGATCCAAAACTGACAGACAAAAATGGCCGCCCTTCGTTCTCAAATAGCCTAAAAATATGGTATATCAAGGTTGTAGACCCTACAGAGGTCACAATTTTTATTTGTAAGTTTATAACACAAAGATCTCGGTTCCTTTCGATGTTTGCGCATATCGAATTGTAATTTCCTGAATTATGGCCCTTGATTGTAGGAAAAATCACTTTCTTTTTAGCTTGTTCTCTATCCATCTCTTGAAAATGTGGGTGTATCCTGCCTGGCAGCCGCTGGTTTAGCTTGTGGTCCTTCTGGAAGTCACAATTATTATCCGATTTAAAAAAACGTTTGATTAATCGCCGTTACGTCGTAAGGACCAAAATTGCCTGACAAAATGACTGCCGTTAGTATGCGAATAGTGTAAAAATATGGTATATCAAGGTTGTGGACCCTGTAGAGGTTACAATTTTAATTTGGTTTTGATGAAACTTGAAATGCTTGTTTATAACCTAAAGATCTTGGTTCCTTTCGATATTGTTGCATATCGGATCGTAACTTCCTGAATTATGGCCCCTGATTATACGAAAAATCACTTTTTTTAGCTTGTGCTTCCTCTAGAGGTCACAATTATCCGATTTAAAAAAACGTTTGATTATATCACCGTTACACCGTAATAAAGGTTGAGTTCAAATGTCCTGAAAATCAAACCAAAACTGTCAGACAAAATGGCCGCCACTTGTACGCGAATGGTGTAAAAATATGGTATATCAAGGTTGTGGACCCTGTAGAGGTCACAATTTTAGTCCGATTTTGATGAAACTTGAAATATATGTTTATAACCCAAAGATCTTGGTTAATTTTGATATTTGCGCATATCGAATTGTAACTTCATGAGTTATGGCCCTTGATTGTAGGAAAAATTACTTTCTTTTTAGCTTACTCTTTTTCCATCTCTAGAAAATGTGGGCGTATCCTGCCTGGCAGCCGCTGGTTACATGTACAATAACTTATATTTTTGCAAGATTTTTTTCGAGTGGGTCGACTTCCCAAATTTCTGAAAATTGACCCATTTGATATGGAATGCCTTGAAATGAATTTTGGCTACTGGTACCTAAAACAACAGATTGAAATACCTTAATCTTGTGATACTTTTGAAAGATGATTATGTAAGATTTAGATAAACAACTGACTTTTTTTTAGAGTTTGAAAATAGATAATGGAAATGGATACCGGTAAATTGAAAATTTCAGTCAAATTACATTATTCTGAGGGAAGTTATGAATGTTTAAAGTTTTGACAAAAATAGTATAGTCTCGATTGTCATTGCTACGATTTAAAACAAAGTCTGGATTTTCCATTTTAACGTTAAACGATTAAATGGAACAGATGTTCTAATCAACTTAATATCCCAGTTACCTGATGACATAGAGATTTGGTTGTGGGCTTGTCACGTAAATAAATGTAAAATAAAAATTTATATAACATTTGAATCCAGAAAAAAGATCTGCTTTATTAAGCAAATTTAGTTTTTGCATAACGCATGAAGGTTTAGATAACTCTTCATGAGTTGCGAATAATTATAAGAACTATTCCTTTCTTTTTAAGCATAATTATTCATTATGTTATTTTATTTTTCAGACCATTTAGAGATAACAAGCCTAACAGATAATTTTCTAGTCCATGTTGCTACAGCTCACAGGTTACCTCCTTTGTGGACCAATAGGTAACATCTTTACTTATTCCGTAAATGTAGCAGATCATTTTATAAAGCATTGAATATTTTATGGGACATTTCCAGATTACCAAATCTTTCATGAGTTATATGTTTCAGTTAGTGGTAGCCAAGAGGCGTGAAGCAATATGTTAACGTGCGGATGAATTATATCGATGTTATGCTTTTTATACGCCTATATGGAAATATGGACGTATATTGCCGTCGACCTGTGGGTCCGTCTGTCCATTGTCCACAATTTCTTGTGAACGCTCCAATGCCAAAAGTTATCATCCAGTTGTTTTAAAATTGATATATGTTGTTGACATTAGTGAGATGAAGAAGCCTATTTAATTTCAATAATTTCCGTTTATTACGTCTAGAGTTATGGCTCTTTTTTCACTTTGTTGAACATTGTGAATGCTCTAATGACTGACAACAGTTATCATCCGATCTGTATGAAATTTATATGCATTATTTAAATTAGTGAAATGAAGAATGCTGTTGAATTTCACCAATTTCCGTTTATTACGTTTAGAGTTATGGCCCTTGTTTTACTTTATTGAACCTTGTGAACGCTCTAACATCAAAAGTTATCTGCCAATCTGTATGAAATTTACATGCGTCATTTAAATTAGTAAAGAAAAGAATCCTATTGAATTTCAGCAATTTCCATTTATTACTTCTAGAGTTATGGCCCTTGTCTTACTTTGTGGTCCCACGTCTTTTGAAGAAAGCCGGAGACTATTAAAATGGGTTCGTCCGTCCGTACGTCTGTCTGTCACACTTTTTGGGACACAATAACTCTCTTTCTAATTGAACTAGAATGTTCAAACTTGGTGAAGGTGTTTATTAGGTCAATGCCTTGATGGTGTTCGAAGATGAGTATTTTCTGCCTAGGGTAAGCAAAAATATGCAATTTGATTGATTCATGCTTTGGGATACAATAACTTTAGTTCTTATGAAGTGAGAGTGATGAAACTTGGTGTATAGTTTCATTACATCATTACCTTGACTAAGGTCGATAATGGGCATTTTCTGCTCAGGGTAAGCAGAGCAATAAACAATTTTATTGGCCGAGACTTTGGAACACAATAACTCTCCTTATAATTGAGCTAGAATGTTCAAACTTAGTGTAGGTGTTTATTAGGGGAGTGCCTTGATGGAGTTCGAAGATGAGCATTTTCTGGTTAGGTTAAGCAGAGATAAGTAATTTATTTTGGGATTTCGGCGATGGATGTCAGCCTCACTGTTGGCTTGTTCAACCATGTTAATGCTCGATTGATGAAAGTTATCATCCGATATGTATGAAATTTATATGCATCATTTAAATTTGTAAAACAGAGGTCTATTGAATTTCAGCAATTTCCGTCAATAATTTCTAGAGTTATGGCGGTTGTGAACTGTATGAAATTTATATGCATTATTTAAATTAGTAAAACGAAAATGCCTGTCAAATTTCAACAATTTCTGTTGATCACTTCCAGAGTTGAGACCCTTGTTTCAGTTTGTAGAATCTTGTGAACCCTCAAACGGCAAAAATTATAATCTGATCTGTATGGAACTGTCTTGTAAAGGCCTCCAATTACCTACAATGGAAATTGGCCTAAAACTGACAGACGAAATGGCCGCCCCTCGTTCTCAAATAGCGTAAAAATATGGTATATCAAGGTTGTGGACCCTATAGAGGTCACAGTTTTTAATCCGATTTTGTTGAAACATGAAATGTTATTTTATAAACCAAAGATCTTGGTTCCTTTCGATATTCACGCATATCGGATAGTAACTTCATGAATTATGGCGCATTTCAGACCATAACTTTCTGGATTATGACCCTTGATTGTACAAAAAATCCTGTTTGTTTTTAGCTTGTTCTCTATCCATCTCTTGCAAACTGTGGGCGTATCCTGCCTGGCAGCCGCTGGTTTCAATTTTTGTATGGTCTTCTGGCAGATGCGTTCTTAATATATGTGCCATCTATTTATTTAGGGATTGACTTCAGCCTCACTATTGTCTTGTTTTATTCACATTCTGGAGTAACAGACTAAACATGTGATTTAACATAATTAAGTTATTTTGACTAGAAAATATACTTTTGGTGATGTTTGATTAGTTTTATGTGCTTGAAAGTTAAACATTGTTATGATGTTACCCACTGGTGGGTAAGTAATCAATTGTATCATGCAACAATTTATTGTTTTCAGGATTAATCCTAAATATGAGGAATATCAAGTAATATTTAGTTTGTTTCATGGTAATAAAAGACTAGCCCCCGATGTTTCTACATCACCCCAAAAAGCCTCATCTTCTGGTCTCTGTGATAGAATATTATGGGATGAATGGTAAGCTTACACTTGTAGTTTTACTTTATAGTCTTTTTAGAAGAAAGATGTGTATGTGCTATAATTTTATTAAAATATTTTTGCCCATTTTTATATGCCCACAAGTAGAATAAGACTCGAAGAGATGACAAAAAATAGTGGAAATCTTTCAAGTGGACAATCGAGACAAGAAAAACAAACAGATGTTATCTACTTAATTACAAGATTCGAGTTTTAAAAGAACCTCAGCCCCAATTTATGTTTCACCTAATTAATATCTATAAATATCAGACTAACAGATTATATACAAAGGAAGTGTCGGTGTGTTTTATTAAAGAACGGAGTAATAACCACATTTTTCTTTTCACTGTGTATACTTCTTTTAATTATAGTTTGATCAGATGTGTACGGATATTTATGATCTTTAATATTTTAAATAATTATCAAAATTCAGATGGAATAGACATATATTACAAATGGATAACTTACTTTGAGACTGATTTTGAATCGACTTACACTGGGAAGTATCAAAGGTGATATTTGTGCAAATAGGGTATAGATTTCTGACTACATTGGTAAATTTGTACCAATATCGCAACAAATCTAATTATCGCAACAAATCTAATACGAAGAGGCTAAAATCTGTACATACGGTGTGTTAATTAACAGGGGTGAGAAATTGACTGAAAGTAGGTGTCACAACTCGCGTTGGAAGAAAGTGGTTTTTTTCCCAATTTGTAACCTTTTTTAAACTTAACGTGACATAGTCGCTATTTAATCTTTTGAAATATTTTGAAAGCCAATTTCTTGTTGTTTTGTATGATATATTTTTTATGAACCTGATCATAATATTAATTTCATAAACTTAAGTTGAAAAACGTCAATTTTGTGTGTTTTGACATTACGGTAAAAAAAATTGTCACGTTTTGAAACGGGGGGTACCCTATCTCAAGTGCTCGTCGGCAGTTCTTATTAATATATTTTTTTACATTTTGATACCATTAGAAAGATAATTGAACTACCTTTTGATCGGTCGGGTTAGAATGTTGGCATTTAAAAATACGATGTATATTTTTCAAGTTGAAAAAACAATTCATGCTCACTTTTTATGAGGCAATTCGTCAAGATTCCACCTCCGACCGATCGAAAGTTTGTTTTATTGCTGTTCCGATGCTATTAAATTCAGAGCATGTTAAGTGCTGCCGCTGAGCACTTGAAAATGGTATACAACGTGACATTTTGTGGACGAATAAATCTCGTCGAAATGCAACTTAATATTCATTTATGAAGTAAGCGTTATGATATAACATAACGCTTACTTCATAATAAAGAACTTGCCTAAAAATAGTTAATTCCATTTTATTTTCACGCTTAAGCCAAAGTCGTTTGATATTGGTAATGTAACTTTATATGCCCATAAATGATGTCACGTGGATACAATATATTAAGCAAGACATAACCGAAAACTTACAAGGATTTAACGTACATTGTAGGCCTACATTTAAAAAATAAGATCAGATCTCCAAACAATAGGGCCTATTTAAAATGGCGTGGGCCTAATTAATTTCGTTTTTAATCGTATCAGACAAGTCTAAAAAAAATTTTTTTTACAAAATCTTTGGGCCTGAGGCTGAAGCCTCATCAGCCTCACTGATAATCCGCTACTGCCATTATTACATTCCGCAGCTGTGAGGGAAGACAACTTACAGATAATACATACGATTTCTATCCACTTAAAAGGGAATTATACCTAAATAAAGCTGGAACAACAATTGTCTCAAAACATTTTAATAATTTTATTAAATAATTTAGCATTATATTATAACAGTTGTCATACTAATTATTATAATTTTAATTATTTGTATTTTTGGGAAATACTGAGTGCCATGGAAAACGCATCACTTAGTTTTTCGTATAACAAAATGATCCTGTAAACATATGTTATTTATTTTGCTTCTTATTGTGAACAATATTCAGATGGGAACACATCAATAACAACACATTTGTACACTTATGTATGTTTAATCTGTAATCAAGGGTACAAAGTCAGAGGGGTCAAAACCAAAAGTACGACACAGATGTCAGTAGCTCGTGTGGCCTCCACGGGCCATCATCACGGTAGGCTACAGCATTAACGCAACCCCTGCAAATGTGTAGGGCGGTGCGGTGATGAAATGTGAAGCCTCCCCACACCATTACCCTTCCCCTACCCCATCGATTCGTTTCAAAGACGCAACAGTCTGCAAGACCTTCCCCAAGACGTCTCCACACACGTTGACGGCCATCAGCGTGATAAAGATGAAATCGACTCTCATCACCGAAGAGCACACTTTGCCAGTCTACTCTTCTCCATGTCTGGTGTCCTTGAGCCCATATCAAACGCCACTGACGGTGATGATCCCTGAGGATAGCTCCAACATAAGGTCGTCATGCACGGAGTCCTACTTCTCTTAGACTACATCTTACGGTGTTGGCACTTCCTGGTCCTTATCTTCCGACGACTGCTGCACCTGTTCGAGTCGCTGGGCGGAATCTGTCACGCAGATGAGTGACCCGGATATAGCAGTCTTGAGCCTGGGTTGTAACGCGTTGTGGACCAGGACGTTGACGGTCACGTGTTGATCCAGTAACTCTAACACGTTCCACCAACCTTACAATAGTGGACTGATGACAATTGAAGTGTCTGGCAATAGCACGTGTAGACATGCCAGCCCGGGACATTCCAATGGCTTCATTCGGTTGATTTTCAGTAAGTCTCGGCATCTCTAGCTCGATTCCTTCACACGTCCAACAACAAATTAGGACAGATTGACGTTTCACAGTTCATGTACTGCACATTAAAACATGCTTTTAAAGGGCTCACATACAATGCTGCACGTGAATATTGGGTTTTTCATGTGCATCTCGTGCAATTTTATTTTGTGCACACGGGTCGATAATTTTTGCGTTTGGGAGCATTGTATACATACAAAACCACCTAGTAATAAAATATTTGGGAAAAAAAAGTGATGTGTTTTCCATGGCGCTTAGTATATATTTAACACATAATTATAGGGGCTCTATATTTATTGGCCAGTTAAACAAATGAAGTTACCGACAAACGTAAGGCCTTGAAGGCTTAATTTGAAAATTCACATTCATGAAAATATACAAAATAATATGGAAAAAGAGTCATACGGATTAAAATGAATAATGAAAATTCAAAAGTGAAGAAAAAACAAAACAATTCTTTCTGTCAAAATCATTGCATTATCTTTGACCACATAATGTAGCTTCCATTTATATAGGCCTTAACTGTAGCCTATCGATAGCCTACTTTTAGAGAATTATGCACAACAAAAATAACTTTTTATTGGTCAATTTTGTTATCTTCTGAGTAGAAAATAATGTCAAAGTAGAATCCTCCTGGAACATGTAGGCCTACATGAAAGCAACGAATGCTGAGTACAACAACAGTTATGTTATTTTTAAATTTATCATTTGCAACCAAATATTAAGTAATATACAAGAGTAAAGATATGTGATTTTAAAAATTCACAATCACATTTACTTGTAAACAAAATTTCACTTCAATATCTCAATTCCTTCATATTTTATTTATGTCGTAAAAACGGCCAAAATGGGCAATTTGGTACTGAGGAATATTTTTCAAAAGTGAACCCCTTTCCTGCTCTTGAGACATAAAAATATTTTGATTTTATTTATTTTTTAAAATCTTGCCTGATAGCTTCTGATTTTAAGATAATACAATTATATTGGAAAATAATGCTTTTTGGAAAAAAATAAATGTGGTTGCTATGGTAACAACTCAAACTCCTTCATATTTTTCTCAAACTTTCACAATCCATATAATTTGATATTGCATGGGTTCCAAATATTTTAAATTGCTTACTTTAAAATGTAGAGATCACCTTTTGGGTTATGGTATATAGGATTGAAAACAGTTGAAAATTGCATTGTTTTCCATTTTTGTTGCTATGACAGGGTTAGGGGGATCACGTGGCTAAGTGGGTAAGATGCTGGCTCGCTAGCCTGGAGGTTTGGTGTTCGATCCCTGCATTGGCCGAGAAAGTTTATCCAGATTTTCTGGCGTGGTTTCCCCTTGTCAGTGATGCAGGACAAGGACAGCTGTCTAGTCGATTTGGATGGGATGAACAAACGAGGCCCTGTGTACATATTGGCGCGTACGTAAAAGATCCCTTGGCAGTTGGAATTCGATATAAGAGTAGGCCATAGTGCCGCTGCCCAGATAAAATTTCCCTCCTAGCGCACTGCATGGCATATTCCCGTCTTCATTAGCCCAGTTTAGGAGTAGGACGTTAAACCCCGTTTCAGTTCATTTCATTTCATTTTTGATAATATATGACGGATTAGAAGTATGTAATTTTAAAAATTCACAAACTTTTTGACATGTTCACATAATTTCACTTATGTATCTCCATTCCTTCTTATTTTATTAATGTCCCCAAAATAGGCAATTTGCTACCGCGGAAAATTGTTCAAAAATGAACATATATATATCCTGCTCTTGAGAGAAGGCATATAAATATTTTTGCTCTTTTTTTTCTTTTTAATCTTACTTGATATCTACTGATTTTAAAATGCATAACAACCAGGTTTAATATTTCAGATATAATATGGACAAGACAATTTTTGATGAAAAAATTAACCAAAATCACTTTGACAAAATAGAAATCCCCGGTTGTACGTGGCAAGGAGTAGGGTCGCCTGTCCAACCTCATGGGTTTCCTCCGGGTCCTCCGGTTTCCTCCCACTGCTAAAGACCCCTATGCACAAGCGAATTATGTAAATAAAATTAAAAACCATATGTTAGTCTCGAAATGACCAAGTTTGTGTCGAGTGGACGTTAAACCCCATTTCTCTCTCTTTGACAAAATAGAATATTTGAGAAAACCTATGTATTTTGGAGTTGCTGGGGAAATCAGAGTAATTGTTACAAAAATGTGAAAATTGAAACATAAATAGCCTTAAAGTTGTATTTCATGAATTTACATCTACAT